TTTAGTATAGATTCAATTATAGATGATTTTCGTGACATGCAAGAGAGACGTTCTAAATTTTAGTAGATTTGTAATGTAATGATGTATTTTGCATGGTTGCAAAAATTGCGCCTAGGCGCCGATTAATCGGTGCCTAGGCGCTAGGCGGCCGCCGGCCACCGCGAGGAAGGCCGGAATCGGCCTCCTCCGCGGCCGGCCGGCTAGGCGGTCTATAGGCGGCCTAGCCGGCAAGTTCAGCCGTTTTAAAATTTTTTTTTTAATTTTTATTTTTAATTTAATTTTTTTTTTTTTTTTTTTGCGTTGTAAAGTTAGAAAAGTCCAGGAAGGCATAATTTTTGTGTATTCTGGAAAGGGATGCATAGGTGTGTGTATAACCGTGCTTGGACTTGGACTTTGTTTTGAATTGATGCACGGGTGATTGCACACTTGTTATGTTTTCTACGTCGCTTATTAAGTTATTGGTTGGTTGATTTTCCCCCATTGTTATGTTATTGTTTGTATCTAGTAGCGTTACGCTGTGCAACACGTATGGTGCACACGTTTGCAAAAACGACGTCGTTTTGTCGTCCGATTAAAAAAAAAAAAATCCAGTTTCAATTGTCGTTAACAGCGTTATGTTACGTTGTGCATAATTTGAACTATATATCCATAACTTCATAACTATCCTTTCAAAATTGCATAATACACATCCATAACTTCATAACTATATATTCAGAATTGCATAACTACACATCTATTAACTTAATAACTATACATTCAGAATTGCATAACTACACATCCATAACTTCATAACTATACATTCAGAATTGCATAACTACACATCCATAACTTCATAACTATACATTCAGAATTGCATAACTACACATCCATAACTTCATAAATATACATTCAGAATTGCATAACTACACATCTATAACTTCATAAGTATACATGATTACATTCAGAATTGCATAACTACACATCCATAACTTCATAACTATACATTCAGAATTAACTACACATCCATAATTTCATAACTATACATTCAGAATTGCATAACTACACATCGATAACTTCATAACTATACATTCAGAATTGCATGCATAACTACACATCCATAACTTAATAACTATACATTTAGAATTGCATAACTACACATCCATAACTTCATAACTATACATTCAGAATTTGAAATTATAACTTCATAACTATACATTCAAAATTGCATGCATAACTACACATCCATAACTTCATAAATATACATTCAGAATTGCATAACTGCACATCCATAACTTCATAACTATATATTCAGAATGTGAAATTATAAAATTATGAACATATGTTTATGTAACTAACGGCAATCAAAAATATATATATTTTTTTTGAGTAAAACGACGCCGTTTTTGCAATCGTGTGCACCATGCATGGTGCACGTGCACACGGTTGCACAACATAATTTGCCTTGTATCTAGCGCTAGTACATATTGTGTCATAACCCCAATCCCGACGATATTGCACCCATACATTCACTTTATGCTATATAAAAAATTCCTAACTTTTGGTGACCAGGTTCAAGCTTTCTGGACTCATTTTGGAATTTGATTTGCACTTCTACCTAAGCGAGGGAGAACCTTTATAATACACAAATCAAACTTTTAAAAAAATTGAATTGTATTTATATTACTATATTAGTATAAACCTACATACTTTCAACATGAGACAAAGGCCACTCGAAAGCTAAATGGCATTTTAAGCCCAATTTAGAGTTGTCAAAATAGACCTAACCTCACCAATAGTTATGCTGTGCAATCGAATGTACCATGCGCATGGTGCATACGGTTCAAAACGACATCGTTTTGATTAAAAACGTGCGTCCCACTTTAAAAAAAAAAATCAGGTTCGACTCTCAGCAATAGCATTATTGTGGATATATAGTTATGAAATTGTGGATATATAGTTATGAAATTGTGGTTATATAGTTATGAATTTATGGATATTTAGTTCATTCGTTCTGGATATTTAGTTCAATCATATATTGTGGATATTTAGTTCATTCATTGTGGATTTTTACTTCATTCATTCATTCATTGTGGATTTTTACTTCATTCATTCACTGTGGATATATAGTTATGAAATTGTGGTTATATAGTTATGAATTTATGGATATTTAGTTCATTCATTGTGGATATTTAGTTCAATCATATATTGTGGATATTTAGTTCATTCACTGTGGATTTTTACTTCATTCATTCATTCATTGTGGATTCTTACTTCATTCATTCATTCATTGTGGATTTTTACTTCATTCATTCACTGTGGATATATAGTTATGAAATTGTGGATATATAGTTATGAAATTGTGGTTATATAGTTATGAATTTCTGGATATATAAAAATGCTATTGCCGGGAATCGAACCTGATTTCTTCTTTAACTGAGACGCGCATTTTTTTAACCAAAACGACACCGTTTTGCAACCGTATGCACCTTGCAAGGTGCATTCGGTTGCACAGCATAATTTGCGTAACCTCACGGATTGGGCCCGTTTAGCTCAATTTTTAGGTGGGATGGGTAAGAGGGGCAAATTATGCCCTGGACCCGTGTCCACAATGAATTGTGGACACGGGCCCAAAACGACGTCGTTTTTCAAAAAAAAAAAAAAAACGCGTCATTTAGTTAAAAAAAAAAAAATTCGCGCGTGTTTTGCCGTTAACGGCGTTATTTTTTTTGGATTATGAATGTACAGTTATGCCGTTATGAATGTACAGTTATGCAATTATGAAATTATGATCATAGAGCTCTAACATTATGAACTTACAATTATGAACATATAGTGATAAAATTATGACCATGGAGCTTTAAAATTGTGAATATAGAGCTTCGAAGATTATGAATGTACAGTTATGAAGTTATGAATGTACAGTTATGAAGTTATGAATCTACAGTTATGGAGTTATGAATCTACAGTTATTAGATTATGAATCTACAGTTATGGAATTATGAATGTACAGTTATTGATCGAATTATGAACAAAGAGCTCTGACATTATGAACTTACAATTATGAACATATAGTGATAAATTATGAACATAGAGCTCTAAAATTGTTAACATAGAGCTTCGAAAATTATGAATGTACAATTATGAAGTTATGAATGTACAGTTATGGAGTTATGAATGTACAGTTATGGAGTTATGAATGTACAGTTATAGAGTTATGAACGTATAGTTATGGAGTTATGAATGTACAGTTATTAATAATATAGTAATAAAATTATGAATATATACTCCTATAACGAAGCGGTCTGAAATTATAAAAAAAAAAAGAAGAAGAAGGAGATAACAGTGCCTAACGGCACTGTTACCTGTGTCCAGCATGCATGCTGGACACGGGTCCAATGCATAACGATTGGGTAAGAGGTTTCTCCAACCCCAGTCGTTATATCATAGATCGTGGTGCGGTGCACATGCACCGCGGTAAAAAACAACAATGTTTTTTTAAGTAAAGAAATGGTCCGCCGTTACCGTTAACGGAGTCTGCATGTTTGGTGTATTAAACACCAATTGACACTACAGTACATCTAAACCGACACTGCCTTATTATTTTTATATTATCAAATGAAACTGCAGTTATATCAAAATGATACTGTAGTTGTGGTGAAATGAAACTACAATGTATATAAAATGAAACTGAATAGCTTTTCACATATTTGAGTATTTCAATGAAATTGTAATTATATCAAAATGATCATGTAGTTGTGTTTTAATAAAACTATAGTGTATATAAAATAAAATTAAATAACATTTTCACATATTTGAGTCTATAAATATCGAATGAAACTGTAGTTATATCGAAATGAAACTGTAGTTGAACTGAAACTGCAATGTATACAAAATGAAACTGAATAACAAGAGTTACTTTTTACGGAAGGGTGCGAAACGGCGGAAAACAAATGCCGTTTCTTTTCATTTAACAAAATGACGTCGTTTTGATGCGCGGTGCATAATTGATTATGCACCGCGGTGCCCGATATAATTTACCCTCCAACCCGACCTGTTTAACCAGTGGGGGTGGGGTGGGGTACCCGGGTTAATACAAGTTACCTTGTGCCATAATGCTTCATTTTCTCTCAAGATTAACCTCCTTTCATGCTTGCTTGCACCATTACTCGATCTTTTCTTCCTTCAATAAAAATAAAATACACCAAATTAAGCATTGTTCCACCTTCTTTTACCTACATTTGAGCCAAAAACAAGCATAAATGAGCACAAATATAAGCTATTTCACGGCGTATCATTGTTTTATATGTTTTCAATTTATTTATAAACGCATAATCTATTAACTGAAGATACATAATATATTAATGACTGACACATAATTTTTGAATTAGGGTGCACAGTGCAATGTGAACCCTGGTCCATGGTATAACAATTGCAAAGCACGTTTTCGAGCCCGGGATGGTGGGTCTTGATTTAGTCATTTGGGCCTTGGCCTACCATATTTTTAGGCAATCATTATTGCATGGACCATGGTCCACACAATTGTGTGGACCATAAATAAAAAGCACATTTTTAATATTCTAAGGGTACATTATTTATGTATGTAAGGTACATTTTTTGGAAGTACATTTTTAATATACTAAGAGTACATTATTTTATATATAATATACCTTCAGTACAAAAATAATGCATTTTTAATATATTAAAAATGTACCTGATATTCATGGTCCACACAATTGTGTAGACCATGGTCCACACAATAATTTGTCATTTTTAGGAGTTTGTTAGACCTCTTTTCATAAATTAGTATTGTCTTAGCATCACATAATCATGTTCAGATTACTAATCTTGTACTACTCTTACATTAATCCAAAAGAATATTACTACATTTATTTCTCTTACTATTTTACCCTTGTTATTTATGCGGACTTAATTCATTCGGACCACCTCAAGTGAATTACAATTAGTTCCCTCATCAATTATTAAGGTGCATTATATTGGTCTTTTTTTGTTAATTGACAAAGAAAGCAGCAAGCTGTTTTAGTTGCTGAAATGGAATCTGATATCGGTGAGAAGCTATTGCAAACGAGGGAGACTCAGAAAGGTGTGGTAATAACTAATAATGAGGAAGTGAAGTTAGGGGAGAATATTTGGTATGAGATGAAGAAAATGTCAGTTCTGGTTCTTCCTGCATGCAATATTTACTAGGGAATGTATATATACTCATATTTTTTACTCAATATCTATACTATATATAAAAACAAAATCCTGCAATTATAACTTCCCACCCAATTCCTAAAAAATCTCTTCCTAATAAAATATATTGATTTCGAATTTTCCATTCGTACAATAATTCTGGGTTAAAATTCTATTCTAATATTATAAAGTACTGTAATACAATTCCTATTGTAATCTACATCTATAGTATACTATATATAAAAACAAAATCCTGCAATATTAACTTCCCGCCCAATTCCTAAAAAATTTCCTTTCCTAATAAAATATATTGATTTCGACTTTCCCATTCGTACAATAATTCTGGTTTAAAATTCTATTGTAATATTATAAAGTACTGTAATACAAATCCTATTGTAATCTACATCTATACTATCTATACTATATATAAAAACCAAATCCTTAAATTTTAACTTCCCGTCCAATTCCTAAAAAATCTCCCTTCCTAATAAAATATATTGATTTCAATTTTCCCATTCGTACAATAATTCTGTGTTAAAATTCTATTACAATATTATAAAGTACTGTAATACAATTCTATTGTAATCTACATCTATACTATATATAAAAACAAAATCCTGCAATTTTAACTTCCCGCCCAATTCCTAAAAAATCTCTTTTCCTAATAAAATATATTTATTTCGACTTTCCCATTCGTACAAAAATTCTGGGTTAAAATTATATTCTAATATTATAAAGTACTGAAATACAATTCCTATTGTAATCTACATCTATACTATCTATACTATATATAAAAACATAATCCTGCAATTTTGCCCGCATGGGCAGTTCAACTGGTCATAGAGGTGAAACTTTGGAAGAATGACCAGGATCGAGTCTAACCAGCGGCAGTGTGGGAGCAACCTCTCAAAGTGAGGGGGACTCCTTTTGCGCAGTGAGCATCGGTCTAGCCTTTGTGATTAATGTTAGGGTTGGGGTTCAGCCTTTTTAGAAGAATAATCCTGTCTTCCTAATAAAATATATTGATTTCGACTTTCCCATTCGTACAATAATTCTGGTTAAAATTCTATTATAATATTATAAAGTACTGTAATACAATTCCTATTGTAATCTACATCTATACTATATATAAAAACAAAATCCTCCAATTTTAACTTCCCGTCCAATTCCTAAAAAGTATCTCTCTCCCTAATAAAATATATTGATTTCGACTTTCCCATTCGTGCAATAATTCTGGGTTAAAATTTTATTCTAATATTATAAAGTACTGTAATACAATTCCTATTGTAATCTACATCTATACTATATATAAAAACAAAATCCTGCAATTTTAACTTTCCGCCCAATTCCTAAAAAATAACTCTTCCTAATAAAATATATTGATTTCGACTTTCCCATTCGTACAATAATTCTGGGTTAAAATTGTATTCTAATATTATAAATTACTGTAATACAATTCATATTGTAACCTACATCTATACTATATATACTATATATAAAAGCAAAATCCTGCAATTTTAACTTCCCGCCCAATTCCTAAAAAATATATCTTCCTAATAAAATATATTGATTTCGACTTTCCCATTCGTACAATAATTTTGGTTTAAAATTCTATTCTAATATTATAAAGTACTGTAATACAATTCCAATTGTAATCTACATCCATACTATATATAAAAACAAAATCCTGCAATTTTAACTTCCCGCCCAATTCCTAAAAAATCTCTCTTCCTAATAAAATATATTGATTTCGACTTTCCCATTCGTACAATAATTATGTGTTAAAATTCTATTATAATATTATAAAGTACTATAATACAATTCCTATTGTAATCTACATCTATACTTCTATACTATATATAAAAATAAAATCCTGCAATTTTAACTTCCCGCCCAATTCCTAAAAAATCTCTCTTCCTAATAAAATATATTGATTTCGACTTTCCCATTGGTACAAAAATTCTAGGTTAAAATTATATTCTAATATTATAAAGTACTGTAATACAATTCCTATTGTAATCTACATGTATACTATCTATACTATATAAAAAAACATAATCCTGCAATTTTAACTTCCCGCTCAATTCCTAAAAAATCTCTCTTTCTAATAAAATATATTGATTTCGACTTTCCCATTCGTACAATAATTCTGGGTTAAAATTCTATTCTAATATTATAAAGTACTGTAATACAATTCCTATTGTAATCTACATGTATACTATCTATACTATATAAAAAAACATAATCCTGCAATTTTAACTTCCCGCCCAATTCCTAAAAAATCTCTCTTTCTAATAAAATATATTGATTTCGACTTTCCCATTCGTACAATAATTCTGGGTTAAAATTCTATTCTAATAGTATAAAGTACTGTAATACAATTCCTATTGTAATCTTCATCTATCTATACTATATATAAAAACAAAAACCTCCAATTTTAACTTCCCGTCCAATTCCTAAAAAGTATCTCTCTCCCTAATAAAATATATTGATTTCGACTTTCCCATTCGTACAATAATTCTGGGTTAAAATTATATTCTAATATTATAAAGTAGTGTAATACAATTCCTATTGTAATCTACATCTATACTATATATAAAAACAAAATCCTGCAATTTTAACTTCCCGCCCAATTCCTAAAAAATCTCTCTTCCTAATAAAATATATTGATTTTTACTTTCCCATTCGTACAATAATTCTGGGTTAAAATTCTACTCTAATATTATAAAGTAATGTAATACAATTCTTATTGTAATCTACATCTATACTATATATAAAAACAAAATCCTGCAATTTTAACTTCCCGCCCAATTCCTAAAAAATCTCTCTTCCTAATAAAATATATTGATTTCGACTTTCCCATTCGTACAATAATTCTAGCTTAAAATTCTATTGTAATATTATAAAATACTGTAATACAAATCCTATTGTAATCTACATCTATACTATATATAAAAACCAAATCCTTAAATTTTAACTTCCCGTCCAATTCCTAAACAATCTCCCTTCCTAATAAAATATATTGATTTCGACTTTCCCATTCGTACAATAATTCTGTGTTAAAATTCTATTCTAATATTATAAAGTATTGTAATACAATTCCTATTGTAATCTACATCTATACTATATATGAAAACAAAATCCTTCAATTTTAACTTCCCGTCCAATTCCTAAAAAATCTCTTTTCCTAATAAAATATATTGATTTCGACTTTCCCATTCGTACAATAATTCTGGGTTCTAATTCTATTCTAATATTATAAGGCACTGTAATACAATTCCTATTGTAATCTACATCTATACTACATATAAAAACAAAATCCTGCAATTTTAACTTCCCGTCCAATTCCTAAAAAATCTCTCTTCCTAATAAAATATATTGATTTCTTCTTTCCCATTCGTACAATAATTCTGGTTTAAAATTCTATTCTAATATTATAAAGTACTGTAATACAATTCCTATTGTAATCTACATCTATACTATATATCAGTGTTGCAAAAATCGCGCCGCTGGCCGTGGCGAGGATGGCCGGAATCGGCCTCCTTGCCGGCTGAACCGGCGATTAATTTTTTTTTTTAAAAGTTTTAAAGTGTTAATAGTTCGACAAGGCATAACTTTTGACTCGGTTGTCCGTTTTGGACAAATGAATATTTGAAATCGCGTATTTTTTCGAGATCTATCCACCGTAGGCGGTTTGGCCCACCAATTTCTAAAAAAAATGCTTTATTAAATAGTTTCTAAGAAAAAACTATGAGAACCTTATGTTTTATTAATGAATTTTTAAAATTTTTAATTAAAAAATTATCCCGTGCATTATTTAATAATCTCTCTTTATAATTGGTCAAATTATTTAATTATGGTAAATTAGGGAATAATTAATGATGGTAATATAAATCCTAGAAGAATATAGAATTGAAAAATATTTAAATATTGTTATATTATTATTGTGACTCACGGAATACAATACAAGAATATTTAATTATGGTTATATTATTATTGTGCCTCACGGCTATTATATACTAACAGAACTTGAAAAGAAACTAATAATAATAATATAATATAAATGGTATTAATAATATCTAAATGTAATTAAGTGTTAATAATAATAGCAAGAATATTAACGTAAGAATTATAACATAGAATAAATTGTAATAATTAATAACTATAGTCTATGATTAAATTTGGAATTGTCAGGGAAAGATAAGCGACCTCTAGTGAAATTAATTCTTAAATAATTATATATCGATTTAAATATTCTTAATATATTACAACAATTCCATTCCGTGCATCGCACGGGTGAAAATACTAGTGTGTTATAAAATTATATAAATATATATAGTGTTTGTGATTGATTTAAATAAATATATAATTATACAAAAAAAGTTTAGCAAGTATGTGCTCGATCTTAGCATAATTAGTTATATAGTTTTCAAAATTTCTAGTGTTTGGTAAAGTATGCAAAATGTGGGTCAAAGAAAAATATACCTTCTACTCATTGTTTTTGGGAAGTTATTTTTCAATTTCCACACCACCACCATCACTACCTTCACCACTATCACTACACTACCACCACCACCACTACCACCGCTTTCACCACTACCAGTCTACCACCATTATGGTTCGCTGGAAAATATTTTTCGTGAATTTGATGAAAACTGACTTTTCCTTTGTTTGGTTCATGGAAAATGTTTCCCTCAAACATTTTCCTCAAAAATGAGGAAAACATTTTCCATGCCCCCCCCCCCCCCCTCCCCTCCACCTCCCCTGGTACAAGTAGGACAATCATGCCCTCACCAACTTTTATTAATTACCATTATTATTGTTCTTATTATTATTATTATTATTATTATTATTATTATTATTATTATTATTATTATTATTATTATTATTATTATTATTATTATTAT